TTGCTTGGGACCGCCAAGGTCAATATTAATTCAAATACTGGCGAAGCAATTGAATGCAGAGCCATTCTGGATTCTGGTTCTCAAATGAACCTAATGTCAGAAAACCTGGCCAAAAAATTACAACTACAGCTAAATCCAAACCCAATATGGATCACAGGAATCGGCACAGGTAAAAGAAGGGCAAACCATCAGGTCACTGCCAACATCTCGTCACGTACCACTAATTTCAACATAAAATTGAAAGCAGTTGTAATGGAAAAAATTACCTCACCTCTACCAAACAAATCGTTCGACATATCGCAGTGGCCGATCCCCAAAAACATCAAACTCGCCGATTCCGAGTTTAATGTAAACAGTGATGTCGATTTATTAATAGGTGCCGAGCATTTCTATCCGTTAATATCAAGAGGTCAAATTCATATGACCAACAATTTACCAGTATTACAGAATACCGTGCTTGGTTGGGTATGCAGCGGTGCCTTAGGTGGATGTAATCAGGATACAATCACTTGTATAAAGGCCACCGAAAATGAGCAAAAATTAGATAAAGTTGCGAATCATGATGGGCAAGTTACATATGTCGAGAAAAAACGTGAAGCAACATCTATTGGAAATACTCGTCAAATTAAGGAATCGCCAGTAAATCGAAGTGTGAATACCCATCCAAGAATTAAAGGTAAAATTCGAGTGGCAGATGGTAAAACTAAGAATGGTAGTTTGAAGCGGCCAATACATCAATTGGCACCGGTACCAGCAGAATTACATTCGTCTACCACTTCACACCAACTTCAACCTGAAGAAACGCCACTAAAACGGGCAAAACTCTATGTACTAGCGTTACTCATCATGTTCTATCTACCGCTGATATCTGCTAATGGGATCAGCATCACATCGTTCAATAAAAAGCCTGGGATTCATTTTGAACACATGGGTTCAATCATGAGATCACCAGCAGAATGGACAATCATAGCCTACTATGATATAAGTTTTCTACAGTTAGAGGTCGAATTTATCACAGATGCAACTAACTCATTGGCAACCATATGTGACCAAATGAATGGTTATAACAATTGCTGGGTCTTAATTGACCAATTCAAAATGACAAACTTAGAAATGTTGTCAGCTAGTATGATACTACAACCTAAACGAAAGAAGAGAGGTGCCATAGACATCATTGGTAATGTCGCAAATGCGGTGTTTGGGGTTCTGGATTCTGAGTATGCTAAACAAATGGCTCAGACTATCCAACACTTAAAAGACAACGACGATCACCTCATTCATCTATTGAAAAATCAAACGTCAATATTAGATTCTACATTAAACATCATGAAGAAAGATCGCCAACTCGCGCAATCAACTTTCGAATTGACAGTCAAACGGATGACTGATTTACAGAATAAAATACAAAAGGATGAAGATGAGATTTCTCATCTTAAACTTTATCAACTGTTCACCGCAATCGCAACACAATTGCTGAGTGTAACTACCAACGTGCAGTTTTACGAGTCTGCAATTTTAAACGTTTTAACTGATACCAATCATGGTAAAATCAGTCCGCTTCTGTTGACACCAGTGCAGCTTAATAATGAAATAACTACGATTCGAGAGCATCTCAATCCACCCACGCGTCTGCCAGGGAATACGAGCAACATAGCTGAACTCTATTCATTAATGACCGTTACCAGCGGTCTAGTCGACACCAAAGTTCTGTTTCGGATAACACTGCCAATAGTCAGTGATCAAATATTTGATTTGTTCTCTGTAATTCCAATACCGGGGGTTAAAGACAGCATCTATCAGCAAATAACACCATGTACTACTCTAATAGCATTCACCGCTCACAGGAATGAATATTTCACCATGTCAGACTTACAGTTAAGTCAATGCAGAACGTTACAAGACGATCAGTATTTGTGTAGTAATACCCAAGAAGTATACTCTCCAGGTTCCGGCAAATGTGAGTGTGAACTTGATCTATTTAATAACTATACGGCATCCTGTTCCTGGCAACGTTTTAATATGAATGCATTATGGTTCCAACCGATAGCACGAAATCATTGGGTGTTCGCGACGAGAGAACCTGTGAGGCTAAACGTAGTATGTATCAAAGAGCAGTCACAAATAACATTGCAAGATACTGGATTAATGGAATTACCTCCAGGGTGTGTACTTAAACATACCACAACATCACTATATAGTCATTATACGTTGACTACTCGTTTAAAGTACTCTCATACGAGTTTCCATTCAGGTCCAATGAATACAACAACAGATCAACAACAACATCAGTCACCAAATTGGCAGAACACCAGTATTCCCATGCATGATGATGACATCAATCAGCTGAAAGCGGCTTTAAAGACATTTCAACAACAAGAAGAACTTCCTGCAAATGAAAGAGCACATCATCAACATCATTTTGTTATCGAGTACTTAGCACTTGGACTAAGTATATTAATACTATGCATTATCATAGTTCGATATACGCATAAACGAAGAAAGCGGAACAACAATCCAGTACCTCAACCCCGAACTCGACAACAACAAGCAAAATTCGAAGTAGACGTAGAAGCACAGATTTGACCGAAGTCAACAGGAGGGAGAATGTTAAGTTTCATATTAAATCTATTATCATTGTATCAATTATTATAATTGTTTTCTTATTATTGTATTATTATTGTCAATTATTATAATTGTATTCTTATTAGTGCATTAATTATATGTGTACATAAGTACCTAAATTAGTTCTTATGTTGTTTTTGTTGTTGGTGTTTATTTGTGTTATCAAACATTTTTAGCAATGTTGCTGGCTCTCACAACTAAATATTCGCACGCTAGCAGCGTGCCAGACGTAACATGATCATCTTCACACGCCACTGTGCAAGGTTGATAAGCATTATGTTCATTTTCTTTTATCGTGTGTTCGTTGTGAGTTGCAGCAATAGGCAAGCCGCTGCGACAATTCTGTTGTTCCCACAGGTGCAATATGAGTTGGCGCATGGCTTCAGTGATAACACATTTAAGTCACCAAATTTGTAAAGCAGGTTGATATATGGCAAAATACATATATCAGCTTGCTGGTTGCATTAAATAGTATAAGCATAGGTAATGCACATATTTCCCACGAATGCCCTTGGCCTTGAATGTTCAAAGTCCATCGGATAACAAATCGTGGGAACTGGGTGCATTTCCTCATTTACCATAAGCTTAGTGTTAAGAATTTTGTATAAAAGCACAACATTTTTAATAAACATTTGATTCAATTTAACAACCTGAATACAACCAAGTGTTTTCTTTTGGTTTAAGTGCCTAAAAGAACCTTGAGCAAAGTCGGTTTATGTGCCGAATTTGAAAATCAATAATAAAAATAAAATAAACAAATAAATATCTATATATATATTTTAATATATATCTAGATATCTAAAAATTACGTAACTGGTTCATGTGCCGGATTACGTAAGTGAATTACTAAGCTGGTTAAAGTACCGGATTAGTGAATCCGTATCAGACTAGATACGGAGGATAACATATCGTGAAAAGCTAAGCTGGTTCAAGTGCCGGATTAGCTTCAGTCCGTATCAAACTAGGTACGGATCATAACAATAGCAATATTTTCTAAACTCAACAATCACGATTACAACAAGTTACAACAAATTTTATTGAACTCATTTTCAAATATAAAAACCATATTGTTCGTTAAGTGCAGCTATCTTGCTTTAGACATAGAAGAAGAAGATGAATTGAAAAAACAAATATCTCTATTTCACAAATACGAAGTTGGACATTCAGGTATTGTACCGACATATAATGGTATGAAACATAAAATCCATCATCCACAATTAAAAATAAAAATACATGAAATAATTAACAATTGCGATATATGCAATGGTGGGAAATATGACCGTAACCCAATAAAGCCTAAATTTCGAATAACAGAAACGCCAAATACGATATATGAAAACGTTCATTCATAATGTTCATAGACAAGTTTTCAAAACATGTTGTATTTTTTTATTTACCAGATAGGAATAGTCAAACGTTAATTCAAAAGATAAACGAATTTTTAGCCATTAAGAGGCACATGAAAAAGTTTATCTTTGACAATGAGTTTAATTCAAGAAATGTTCAAAACTTTTTAAATGCAGAAGGTATACAGCACCATGTTACTACACCAAATAACCATACAGGGAATTCCGATGTTGAAAGATTAAATAATACTATTACTGAAAGGATTAGGACACTAAACCTAGAAGGAAAACTTCCCATAATTACCCAAATGTGTAACGCAGTTAGATTCTACAATAATTCTTACCATAGCACTATAAAAACTTCACCATTACAAGTCTAAAATAGCGAGGTCGAACACAGAATCATTAAGGGAAGAATACAACAAATGAAAAAATGGACTATTTTTAAAAAAAACCAGAATCGAGAAACCTATGTAGAAAAAAGAGAACAAGGATTTATTAAAAACTATAAAAATGTTAGACACAAAGAAGAACCTAAGTTTGTTAAAAAACCTTTAGAAAATGTTCACTTAACAAATATTAAACGACCGTTTAAATTTTCAGGTAATTCTAACAATGTTAATACTTCTATTGACAATTGTGTTCACCAACGGAGCAATATGGGTAAACGAATTTGAAACCGATACAGGATATACTACTGTAACAATAAAAAAGCAACTCTGAGTAATATTGAGCTAAATGCAGCCCTGCGAGGCAGCATGAAAGGTGAATGACTGTTGATACGAAGCAGAGGAGACAGAAAGGACGGAAATGACACACAAATGTGAAACACGCTCGTTGCGGGTAAAAATAATATAAATAAATGAATAATGAAGTAATTGTGACGAATAGAATAGAATTCTTTGTCAATAAAATATTTTCGGTATTTACATAACCGATTACATGTTTTCACATTGCTTTCCGTTAAAATAACATTCATTTATGTATGACGCCGGGAAAAACGCGGGAAAAGACAAAGTGAGTAAATTAAAGATGAGTCGCAGAAATAATAAATTGCCATGTGAGACTCCAGTGTCGTCAAGATGTCAAGAGCAGACATCAATGCAAGAGGTGTTAAAAGCCATACAAGCTCTACAACAAACGGTGAATGAAGTTCGAGCTGAAACAGTTTCGAATTGGGAAGGCATAAGTAATTTGCGTGGACAACTTGCCAACGATAAGTAGGTAACGCACGAAAAGAAAGATGAAATAGGTAAGATAGATCAAGATGAAGGCGAACGGTGCACTGCTAAAGTCGTATGTTCAGGAGGCGAAGGCATCCGACTTTATGATTTGCCAAAATTCAACGGTAACGCCGAACAGTGGCCACTTTTTCGTGCTAGTTTTGAGGACACCACCAAAACGTTTAAGTATACCAACAGACATAATTTAATGCGCCTACAGAAATGCCTAATGGATGAAGCCAAGGATGTCGTTCAGTCACTGTTAATATACCTATCAAATGTGCCTGCAGTTATGGGAGAACTTGAATTTCGTTTTGGCCGCCCAGATTTACTAATACGGTCCCAGTTGGACAACATTCAACAGTTCGAGAGAGTGACGGAGAGGAACGTTGATAGTTTAATTGCCTTATCCTCTCTTGTCCGAAATGTTGTAGCCTTTTTGTCATCAGCCAAGTGTGAGCAACACTTGAACAACCCAATATTATTAGAACAACTAGTGTATAAGCTGCCGCCTAATAAACAATTCGAGTGGGCGCGTCACGCTGTAATTCTGAAGGAATGTCCCACAATAAAACAATTTAATGTTTGGTTGAGTGAGATGGCGCAAATAATTTGCCTTTTGCCACAGCCATTGTGTCAATCAAAAACCGAAAAGCCTAAAATTACAATGCCAGCTACTCAAAATTATACGCGCCGAGTTATGTATGCACAAAACCATGAGATGGAACAAGAAAATCACCTAGAAGTTAAGTGTTTTGAATGTGCAGGCCAACATCTAATAGTTACATGTGAAGCGTTTTTGAGTAAAAATGTTCAGCAGCGTTGGGTAAAGGTGAAGCAGCTTCGTTTGTGTTTTTCATGTTTGAGGAAAGTACACAATGTCATACAGTGCCGAATGAAAAGATTCTGCGGTATAAACGGTTGCCGTAAAAATCATAATAGATTGCTTTATGAGTCCCAACAAGTGCCGCCTACGTCTGGATCAGTTCAACAGGTTTTGAGTTGTGCCAAGCCATGAAGATTTTCGCACTTGTGGATGAAGGGTCGTCAATCACTATATTAAATGCCAAAATTGCAAGTCAGTTAGGCCTTAAAGGCAAGAAACAACACTTAACGATGCAGTGGTATGATGAAGAGAAGGTGATTCAAAACTCAAGAGTGGTTAATGTCAACATAAAGGGTGAAGCAGGCGAACAGTATGAGATTAAAGACGTTTACGTAATTGTCAATATAAGACTGCCAACACAATCGTTCAAAAAATCAAATTATGGGCACCTTGATTGTTTGCCGATTGAAGACTATGACGATGTTCGCCCTTTAATGCTGCTGGGCCTAAATTGTGCCAACATAAATGCATCTTCTGCATCAGTGACCGCCGGTGCATCTAATCCAGTGGCTAATCGAACTAAACTTGGATGGGTGGCGTATGGTCCAACCGGTTCAAGCATCACCGTCCATTCGCCAACGTTATTTGCCCGAGCAGATCATTTAAATGTCTTGATCGTATTGTTGGCGAATATTTCAATTGTGAAAATTTTGGAATTAAAAATCCAACACCGCCGCTGGAATCAGCCGATGGTTTGAGAGCCGTAAAATATTGTCTGATACAACACTCCGTATCAATGATCGTCATTAGGTTGGCCTTTTATGGAGAAAAAATGCATCAATATTGCCTGATAGCTACGCCATGGCTGTCAAACGTTTGCAGGGAATCGAAGCTAAAATGAGAAATAATATCAAATTCGCAAAACGATATAAGACCGAAATTAACAAATACATCGCCAAAGGTTACGCCAGGAAACTCACACAAGATGAAATGGAAGATATCACAAAGCCGTTGTGGTATTTGCCGCATTTTTCTGTGCAGAACTCGCATAAGCCCGACAAACTGAGAATTGTTTTCGATGCCGCCGCCACTGTTGATAAACAATCTCTCAACTCAGCATTGTTAAAGGGACCAGAAAAGGCTAAACCAATAATAGGAATACTTTTTAAACTACATCAGGGTCGTATTGCTGTTGCTGCAGACATAAAAGAGATGTTTTCTCAGGTTAAAATACGATCAGCCGACCAGAATACCCAAAGATTTTTATGGAGAAACGGTTGCGAAATGTCACCGATCGAACAATACATATGTCATTACGTCTATGATCTTCGGAGCAGTATGTTCGCCCTGTTGCGCTGAATTTGTTAAGAACCATAATGCCGAAAGTTATCGCAGCCAATATCCGGAAGCCATCAATGAGAACTTTTACGTAGACGATTACGTTGCCAGTTTCGATACAGAAGAGCACGCTCTACTAATTTGTCAGCAAGTGGTTCAATTTAATGCAAACGCCGGCTTTGAACTTCGTAATTTTTCATCAAATTCATTAAATCTACAGATTGTCATGAATGTAGGTGAAAGTGCAGAGGCCATCTGTTTGAATCGGCAGAGCCAAACTGAGAAAATCTTGGGAATGTATTGGAACGTAACAAATGATTCGTTTCAATTCTTAACAAAATTTCATCGCATAGCTAAAGAAGTTATCGAGGGTAAAAGGGTTCCAACAAAGCGAGAAATTTTAGGAATTGTGATCTTAGCGAATTTTTTAATTATTGCCAAAGTATTATTGCAAGAAACCTGGAAAACCAAATTAAATTGGGACGACTTGTTACCACCTACGTTATCTCAAAAAATGGTTTCGGTGATGGGACGAATTTGCCAGAATAGGCAATTTCTTTCTACCAAGATGCAACTCGCCGCATCTCAACATTGCTAAAGAGGTCCAAATCCATATATTTATGGATGCTAGTCAAGTTGCATTTACTGCAGCAGTGTATCTGCGAATTAAACATCAATATGCAGTCGATGTAGTTTTTGTCTGTGGTAAGACTCGTACAGCGCCTAAGAAACTCCTATCCATGCCAAGGTTGGAACTGCAGGCTGCAGTCTTGGCTACTCGATTATCAAAGCTGGTGGTGGACAGACATGACATAAACATAAGCCGTATAGTATTTTGGACTGATTCCAAAACCGTTCTTTGTTGGGTAAATTCAATAAATCGCCGATTCAAACCATTTGTTGGGCATCGTATAGCTGAAATATTAACCTCAACGAAAGAAAACCAATGGAGATGGGTGCCAACTGAGATGAACCCTTCTGACGCTGCAACAAGGGCCAACCTTTTTAAGTCAAGAACAAAATAGCTGGCCAAATGCTACATTTTCGTTTTATACTGACACGCCAGAAGAAGAGATTACGACACCGATATTACTCAATATCAGGCCAGTGAAACATTGATAGAATTTAACCGTTTCAGTTCTTTTTTTAGACTTAAACGTTCTGTTGCCTGGTCCCTAAGAGCTGTTCAAATATTCCGTAGAAAACGAGATCCACTATTTATAGAAGAGAGTGATAATTTGCATTCGTTGCCACCGTTATTACCAAGTGAAATCAATGAAGCCGAAAAATTTATAATGCAGGAGGATTGTACAGGTACAGGAGGATTGTTTTTCGGAGGAAAAGAGTTTACTTAAGCTTAAACAACCTCTTAACAAAAAATGCAAACTATACAAATTAACGCCATACGTAGACAACGAAGAAATAATTCGTGCCAGTGGTCGCCTGGACGAAGCCATATATCTGCCTCTTGAAGCTCGAAGCCCTATTATATTGCCGAAACGCCATGTCGTCTCCGAACTAATAATGAAACACTATCATGTTGCCTACAAACATCAAAATCAAGCTACAATTATAAACGCCGTACGCCAAAAGTTCTGGATAATTGGTGCCAAGCCACTTTTGAAATCAGTCCAACGCAATTGTATGGAATGCCGCCTTGAAGCCGACAAGCCAGCGCCACCGTTAATGGGTCAGCTCCCAGTCGACCGTATAACGCCGTATGTACGACCGTTCTCGTACACAGGTGTTGACCTGTTTGGACCATTACATGTTACTATTGGTTGTCACTGTGAGAAGCGCTGGGCTGTCATATTCACATGCTTAACAGTACGTGCTGTGCATATAGACATCGTCGATAGCTTATCAACTGAAGCGTTCCTAGTAAGTTTTCGCAGTTTTATTAACCGTCGTGGTACGCCAATCAGAATGCGTAGTGACAATGGCACCAACTTTATTGGGGCACAAAGAGAATTATGTGCTGATAAAAGGTTTCTTGATGTTAATGATATACGTGAGGAAGCCACTCAACTTGGAATTGAATGGATATTCAATTGTCCGCAGAATCCCAGTGCAGGTGGTTGCTGGGAGCGCCTTATAAGAACGATCAAACGTCTATTATTCAAGTCAATCAGAGAAGAAGCACCGAAGGTGGAAACGTTAAGGGCAGCACTAATTGAAGCTGAAAACATTATTAACAGCCGACCGCTTACAGACATTCCTTTGACGCACAGCGAGCAGGAGCCACTCACACTAAATCATTTCTTGTTAAGCTGTGCCAATAGTACACAGACACGCTACAATGATGCCATACCTATCAGCCTCGGTAAACAGTGGCATATCCTTCAAGATATAAACAGCTGTTTGTGGAAACAGTGGACTACGGAGTTCTTGCCTCAACTTTTTCGACGCCCTAAATGGTGGAAGGAGGTGGTGCCCTCAGGGTTGGGGATTTTGTGATCGTTTGTGACAATCTGCTACCAAGAGGTCAATGGCTCAAGGGTCGAATTGTTGAAGTGTTTCCTTCCAAGACCGGTCAGGTTAGATCAGCCCGCGTACAGACCAAGAATGGTATCCTAACTCGTCCAGCCACCAAGCTAGCCACTTGTCAGATAAGTGAATATTACAAAGATTCACGGGAGGACGGAATGTAACAATAAAAAAGCAACTCTGAGTAATATTGAGCTAAATGCAGCCGTGCGAGGCAGCATGAAAGGTGAATGACAGTTGATACGAAGCAGAGGAGACAGAAAGGACGGAAATGACACACAAATGTGAAACACGCTCGTTGCGGGTAAAAATAATATAAATAAATGAATAATGAATTGTGACGAATAGAATAGAATTATTTGTCAATAAAATATTTTCGGTATTTACATAACCGATTACAACTACAATTAGACTTATGGAGGTTGAAATAGTTAACACTACTATAACCGTTTTACACATAATTAATCCACAAGAAATTCAAAACATAGTTCAAGCTATAGAGTCAAATATAAAATCACTAGATTTAGTGCATAAAGAATTGCTTAGAAGAGAAAAGAAATACTTAAATCAAAAATTAAATCGATTACTCCAGGGGAATATAACAAGTCCAAAAGAGGTTTAATTAATATTTTATGTACAGCTCAAAAATGGTTATATAGAACCATGGATGACGATGATAGGCAAAAAATAAATGAACACCTTAAAGTAATAAATAGAAATAACGAAATGTTAATTCACAACATCAATAAGCAAATAGTGATCAACAACCACTTCAATGAAAGCCTTAACATTCCTAAACGCAGTATAGAGAAAGATAGAGAATACATAGAAACACTCTTTTGGGGCAGTTATAATGATATTACAAAATATTTATTATATTCAGAGCAAATACTAAAAATTAAGAGCTTAGAGTCTTACATAAATTAAATACAGGATAATATTGCCTCAGCTAAACATAATATTTTGCATCCAAGTATTCTGACCAGCGAAGAAATAGAAAGATACAAAATTGATTTCTTTAAATTAAGATTGTTAAAGTTAGACATGATGCATTATGAAAATTCTAAGGTTATTATTGCCATTAAAACTCCATATGACTATATCACAACTGATATTAAAGCAATTATTCTCAACAATGTTAGGTACACTTATAAAGAAAATATGTTATGTAAGGATTTAGTTAGAAGTAAAAGCTGTACAATTCACAATAACTGTATTTTTAAGTTTAACAATAAATATCAATTGGAAATTATAAATAAAGAAACAATAATAATTAAAAATGCAAATAATTTGAAAATTTTACAAAATTGTAATGAAAGGAATTTTACCTTAAAAAAAAATAATGTAATTTCATTTAACAATTGTCA